CTCTTTCCAGAAGAGTTTGGAGTTTTCCCTAAAGTTGTGCGACAACCTCTCGTCCGCTTCTATTCTACACCTTTCACGTACTTCTTCAATCAATGTTTTCGCTTGAACTTTCTGCAGCTTATATCTTTCTTTCATCTTCTCTCTCATATGCTCATCGTTACTAGAGGCCGAGTAGTCTAACCATGCTTTTTTCTTCTTTTTTTACAGCTTCTCTCACTTCATCATTCCACCATGCATCTCTTCTTTTACTATTACCTCTTTTTGTCGTACCACATACTTCTTCCGCTGCACTTACCATTCCATCCCTAAGGTTCTGCCATGTTCTCTCCACACATTCTTTCCTGCCATCGATGGTGTCAAGCTTTTCGGCTACCCTCGTGTGATATTTGTCCCTAGTATCCGCTTCCTGAAGCTTCCAGCTTCGGATGCGAAAGACCGACTGTGGTTCTGTTACTGCCGTCCGGTAGCGCCAACCCGCGAACAAACCCCTAAATCTAGTAATTACTAGATAATGATCCGTTCCCAGGTCAGCACCCCTGAACACTCGTGTATCCATCACCTGTTTTCGCAGTCGGTCATCCACCAGGAACAAATCAATCATACTTCTCTCATTCTTTCTTTCTCTAGTGTACATACGGATTTTCCTGTGATTAAACATAGTGTTTGTCACAAGAAGACCCTTTTCCTTGCATACAGCCAGTATAAGCTTGCCAGCATCATTAACCCTTTTATCCTCGTCGACTCGTATCCTGGTCGAGCGATACCTACCCATCCATTCAAATCACCACATACAACAGTTCTTTCGTTTCCCTTAACCAAATCTAGAACTTCTCTTACATTCTCCCAAAACTTCTCCAGCTCAGCCCTGGACGACGAAGCTACCGGCGCATAAACAGCCAAAAGGAATAACTTCGTCAGTCCCATTTTGAAGCGAACCCAGAGAAGTCTTGAGTTCACAACCTTGTATTCAGTTATAAGATCGACCAACCGGGACGACAACAGCACCCCCACTCCCTGGCAGGCGTTCTCGCTTTCCCGGACTCCGGACCATATAGCTGACGTCCCGCCAGGGAGCTCTTCAGTACCACTGCCTTTCCGTTTGGTCTCCGACATACACACGACATCTAATTCTCTTTCTTTCATTATTTCGATCAACTCATTCGTCTTATCTCTCATGCCCCCTCTAACATTCCACGTGCCAACTCTGCACTCCGTCCTCCACCTTCCGCCGTGTCGGGCTGTGCGTGACGGGTGGCGGTCCCCATCGCCGCTTTGCGCGCTGCATTCCACACCAACGGGGACGAGCTGGTGTGCGTCGCCTTGGGGGGACGCCCTAACCCTCGTTTGCATGGGTGCGCAGCTGTGTAGAATTGCAGCCCTGAAAAGGGCTGGCAGGGGTCGCGACGATCACGCTTCTACAATGACCCCCACTACTAATAATATTAAACTGCAAAATTACTTAACAACTTTGGTGATGGTATTTTAAATATGTGACGTCTTTTGTTGTAGATTGTGAACCCACTCATTAAATTGAGAACTCTTATTTTAGCTATTATTATCTTGTCACTTCCATGTCTGACTTGACACTGACAGAATTCTATCAAGAGAAGCCATAATTTAAAAAAAGAAGAAGAACTATAGTGAATCTAATTGAATTAGTACCTTCTTCATCTTCCAATAATAAATCACTGACAATAAAAACCTCGTCAAGATCGATCACAATTCACATGTAATTACAGTGCGATAGGTGTAAAGGAAATGGAAACGATTCTTCCGGTGCGTGTACGTGCGCGAGATATAGATGTGAAGGCGATTGTCAACGATTTCAAACGAGCGGATAACAACGCTTGTTTTCTATTTCAACGGTTGACAACCGCGTGTGATGGCTTGAAATGGATAAAAACGTTTTTTTTTATTATGCAATAAGTTTTTTCTCTTTGGTAATGAATAAATCACAGAAAGCCCTATAAAATAGCAATCAGCTCATAAGTTCTGTCAAAAACTTTTTGTAAAATTAATGCCATCAAAAACATAACTTGTAAAAAAACAAGCCTCGCAACTCAGTTCTTCTACCGTAAAAAGTTGTGAGATCCATGCAATACCAAGTCGGCCAATTTATTCAGGCCTTCCTTAAGGTTTCTTCTGTTTAAAGTTATTACGTAATTAGCTAACCTAGCAACATCTTATTGTGACCATATCAATATTAAAAATCGTTTACGTTTTAAATAAATAGTTTGACTTAGGCCATCGCATGAAAACACAATGTATCTCTATAATACTATCAAGTACTATATTAAATTAGATTGTTTAGTGCGATTGCCAAGTCAATCTATTTATTTAAAGCATCAAATATTTTAAATATTGATATGGTCACTATAAGATGTTGTTAGGTAGAAATATATCGTGTTTATATAAAGCCTGTTTGGTTACTGAAAATTCAGGCTTCTAGTTTTATCTACAACTTAGCTATAGGGGGTCAAAAATGTCCTGAACTGCTTCGAGAAAAGTATGGTACGGCCGTGCCGCTTTTTTGCTCGATTTGGCGATAGATAGAGATAGGCGATTAGTTGATACACTTTTTGATAACTATATAGAAATGTATGTATATAGAATATAATTATAATTTCTATATATAGAAACTATATAGAAATTATAAAAATGAAAAGTAATTTAATTTAGAATACAATTTTATTTACATTATTCAAAATGCCCTCCCCTATTTTGAACACATGCCCTTAATTGACGCGGCCAGTCATCAATCGCAGCACGCACCACACTCATATCTATTTCGCAGCAGCGGCAGCTGCTTTAGCCAAAGATGATCGGAAAGATTTCAAATTCTGATGAGGTTTAGCGCAGACTTTCTCCAACAAATGTTGCCATATCTTATAATCCAGTGAGCTTAAATCTGGACTAGAAGAGACTTCATGTCCGATAAAGTCAATTCCATGGACGCTCAACCAGTTTTGCATGCCTGTTGAAATATCCAATGTCTGATTTAAACATTATTTGAGAAAGAGGTTCCACTATGTATTACGATACGGTATTTTGGTACACCTCGGCACTGGTTTTTACAACTTTTTAACATAAAATCACCTAAGTTAAGCCTGAATATGAGACTCCAAGCCAAACCATGAGAAACGAATGATAATGTGCTCGGTGAACCCTCGAAATACGCGTGCTGGCTTCTTCACTGCTGTGGGCATACACCTTATCATTTTGTTTATTATAACTTTCTTCGATGTTAAAAAAATTTTCATCCGAAAACAAAATTTCGCGATATTTTTTCCCGCGTACCGCCGTAACAAAGCGCGGGATCTATCCAGCCTATTTTTTTTCAAACGCTCGTTCAAAAAAGGTCCGATTTTCTTACGATAAGCTCGTAGTAGTAGGTCTTCATTGATCACTCTTTTGACCGTGGTTCTGCTTAAGCCCATCTGAAGAGCTAAGATTTTTTGTTTACGAACAGGATTTCGTTGGATTCGCGCCTTCACTGCTTTGATGATCGCGGGTGTCCTAACTGTACGAGGGCCGGTCCTCTTACGATCTCTGAAGCTTGAATCTTCAGTGAATCGTTTGATAGTGCGATAAACAAATCGTAGGGTTATTTTCAATTTTCGTAGAATATTGAAAATCTCTTTTGGCTCGTAACCACAGCGGTGCAACGCGATAACCGAAATAATCTTCTTTATTCGATTTCCATATTTGAAAATTAATGAACATTAATGTATTTTTTATTTTCGGCAAGCGCAAACGTTATATTTTTTAAATTTGTGAAATTCATCTAGCCAGTATTAAATTTTATTAAATAATAAGGTTTTGACATAACTTATGACCCGACTAAGTATTAGTCTATTTTTTGAGATATAGCACATTTTCAAAAACCGCAAATACAACTTTGTCATTCATTTTATTATTTGTATAAAAACACTGAAAAACAAAGTAATTTGTTGCTGGCGATAATAATAGCGGTATTTTGGCTACACGTACAATCTACACTTACTACTTCCGAACCATTCAAGGGCGAGCGAGTCCGACTAGCACTTGGTCACTTTTTTTCGACTTTGAGTTTCATTTTAATAAATAATTTTTTCCTTTCAGCGGAGCTCTTTATATTTTGGATTTGTTACATATATCTATAGCAATCAACCTGAGTAGGTAAAGTGTGTGAATATGATTCTTAAATTGTAAAAATAATAATTGGAACTTATCATCTTACGTAGGTATTTTCTTTTATTTATTTAAAAATATTAATCCCACAAATAATTATTATAATATAATTTAAATACATAAGCAATGCCCTGTAATGTAATAACGGTGAAAAAAATTCGGTCAATTACTTTTTGAGATTAGCCAAAAAACATATTCATAGAAAGTAGCCACCTGTATAATAAAATGCATCCTACATTAGACATCCATAATTATGCATAGCATTCTAGTGGTGAAAGAATTTTCAAAATCGGTAAAGTACTTTTCGAGATTAGCCAATAAAACGTATTCATAGAAAGTAGCGCCCTCTATAATAAAATGCATCCTACATTAGACATCTATAATTATACATAACTTTCTAGTGGTGAAAGAATTTTCAAAATCGGTCAAGTAGAGTTTAGCCTTAAAAACCTATTCGATATTCGTTAATAATAGCACCTTCTATAATAAAATGCATCTTACGTTTCATAGTCATAATAGCATTCTAATATAATTCTAATGAATACCAGCGTAATATAGTAGCTTAATACTGCTGTGTTTCGTATGGTGTATGTAGAGAACTGGAGACCCTTTTTTACTGGAAACGAGGCATTCCATCTTAGTCCTCAGGGACAACAACGCATCTGCATTTTTATTGGTAATCGAGGATAAATGTAGATGTCTATGGGCCACAGCATCCACTTACCATCAGGTGGACTGTGTGCTCGTTTGTCACCCATTGCTATAAAAATATAGAGACCCATGTCCATCAGTATATGTTTATGGCCTGATGAAGTAAGAATAAGACTTACTGTATCATCCAATAGAGTGCATATCCTATTAATGAGTTCAATTAAAGTACTTTCTTGTCCTGTTGCAGCGTTGTTATCTTCTATACTAAGCAGTTGTGCAGCTTTGGAATTTTCTAGAATGTGGTATACTATAGCGGTGATTCTTCTAGCAGTGATTGCCTGCTCTTCCTTGTAAAGTGGTCTGGAATTTATTATAAGCTTGAAATCAATAATGTCCCGAGGATGTGGTAAGACTGGATTATGAGGAAACAACAAAAGCTTTCTGGAATTGTCCTCCTGCCAAGCTAAGTGGTCCCAACAAATTCTGCTAATGTCATTATTGACTGACAGGGTTCTTTGCTTTCTGCTCTGTGGATTAGCCAAGTTGACTATATAAAATACTTATAATTAAAAAATATACCGTATTTATAACACAAACACAATTTTTGTCTGTCTGTTTGTTCCGGCCTATCTCCGAAACGGTTGGACAGATTTTGACGGGAATTTCACTGGCAGATAGCTGATATTATAAGGAGTAACTTACATTAATTTATTTTAAAAATAATTGGGTTCCGCGCAAAAGAAAAAAAAAATAAGTTACACGCGCGCAAAGGCGCAGGCTACAGCTAGTTGCTAAATAGAAAAATACAAAAATTAACGGGAATGCCGCTTATCGTAAGACTTAAAATTGATTTCACTGTAGAAAATCAAAGAAAGGAAGTCTTTTTTTTTTTTGTAGGTATTGTAAAAACTTGTGATTATTTCGCCACGGGTCGACATAAGAACATTGACTGTTTTCATATCAATCAAACATATACTAAGATACTTTAGCATCTAGTAAGAGATACGCTACCCTGATCATATTGTTTAAACAAGACAACATAAATCTGAGACACATTTATGATGAACATGTAGGGTCTAACATGACATGGTCTCAGTTCTGTGAAATGTACTCAACTGTGTGGAGTAAACCTTTAACCTTTTATAACTATTTCTGACACCAATTAACAGTGCCTGCAGCGCCGTGTTTCGGTTGGAGGTATATAGAGTCAGTATAATTCCAGCCTGTGACGCATTCCATCTTAGTCCTCAGAGGTGACAACAAATCTATAGGCTTCTTTGTTTGAAATTGCCTGCTGACGTCCATGCATTACAGTAGCCACTTACTATAAGATGGACTGTAAGTTCATTTATCATTTACCACTTCAGTTTTATAAAAAAAAAACCTTGGCAATCTTGAAATACAGTGTAACTGTTCTTGCGCAAACACTTGGCCATTATAATCCTGTCCTGTGCAGATGGCTAGTCTCCGTTGCTGTTTTTTTTTTTTATAGAATAAGGACGACAAACGAGAACACAGTCCACCTGATGGTAAGTGGATGCTGTAGTCCATAGACATCTACATTTATCCTCGATTAAGAATCAAAATGCAGATGCGTTGTCACCCCTGAGAACTTAGATGAATTGCCTAGTTTCCAGTAAAAAAGGGTCTCCGGATCTCTGCACTCATTATAGGAAACACAGCAGTATTAAGCTCCTATTTTACGCTGGTGTATCGACCAAATTGGTGATATTTTGAGAATGGGCCAAATTAGAAATATCCTTAACCGACAAGCGTATATGCGTATATATGGATATAAAGGAGGCGAGAGAGGTATGTCTGGATCATACCAAATGGAAGTCCGCAGTGTCTGCATACCCCTCTAGGTGACAGGCATGAGTGTTTATGTATGTATGTAGTTTACGCTGGTATATTCTGTAACTGGTCCTACACCGGTCGAGTCAACCCATTCATGCTAAACCATAATATAGCTGCAGCGTGGCTCTACCACATTATAAAACCAACCAACCAAAAAAGTGACCGAAATTCAGTCCGAAGGACATTATTATAACTACCCTATAAAGCAAAGTTTTGCTTTGTCACACTTGACACTCAGATTGGCGATTGTATTACCAGATGTTCATCATCTGCTCTTCATCACCAGTCTGGGATTTTACATCTGGTAAATACAAGATGGTATAACACTATCTGTTTGAGACCATGTCTTTCTGGCTCGCCTTGTCGCCTCTTAACCATTTCACTATCCCGTGAGTCATATATAACGAACATTTCGATTGTTTAACTGTCGTGTCTTTTTTGCGGACAGGGAAAATGTTAAGTTACCAATGGGACAAGATAAGTTGAATTCTCTATACATACTTTCCACAAACCAAATCTTCGTCTGTTATAACTAAAAAGTTTGCAGTTGCTTCAATGTATTTTTCGTCCATTTCCTTTTGGAATGCAGTCGTCGTTCTATGCATCAACGTCTCAAGTTGATGAACGATTTCTTTCAGTGAGCTTTGTGCTGCTCTGAAAACCTGGAATTGATTAAAAATAACCAGATTGCATAATGATGGGAGTATATAAACTAATGATAGTAACCCTTGGGGATGAGGTACTTACTACCAAGCTATTTTTAATTTGTTTTGTGTTCTTAATCGTGTAACATGTACGATTGTGGAGTATTTTTGTTTAAAAAAAAAACTAGAAAAAGTCTAGCTGGATTTCTTGTTGGTTTTCCCCAGGGCAGAGGTTTAAACGTGGTAGAGTTATGCTGCAGTTATATTAGAACTATAGTTGTAGCACAAATGGGTCGGTTCGACCAGGGAAGGACCACACTCTCACAGAATACTAGCATAAAATAGTAGCTTAATGTCACTGTGTTTAGTATAGTGAGTGTAGAGAACCGGAGACCTTTTTTACTGGAAACGAGGCATTCCATCTTAGTCCTCGTGGGTCATGGGTGACATATAAAATGCATTTTGATTTGTAATCGAGGATAGATGTAGAAGATGTCTATGTGCCACAGCAACTACTTACCATCAGGTGGACTGTGTGCACGTTTGTCACCCTATAGTAGTAAATTAAACAAGAGTGACTTTCAATGAGTATTATTTTATAATCTATATTGAATAAAAAGTGTCTGTTATTGTTTTTGTTGATTGGCTAGCTAGATGGTAGGTACTGCTTTTCTGCTTGGGAATCTATCTGGGTAGGTACTACCTTTGCCTATTTTTGATGCCAAATAACAATGCTGGCACTGCAGTGTTACAGTCTATTGGATATAGAGTCAGTATTATTACAAAGTGTGAGGCCTTCCATCTTAGTGCTCAGAGGTGACAACAGATCTGTAGCCTTTTTTGTTTGGTGTTGGCTGCAGGTGTCAATGGACTGCTTACTTACCATCAGGTGGACTTAAGTTAATTTGTCACTTCAGATAAACACAAACACTCACGCCTGTCACCCAGAGGGGTAGGGATAGGCTGACACACCTCTCTCGCCTCCTTCACGTCCATATACCTACGCATACATGCTCGTCGGTTAAGGGTACTCCTAATTTGGCCCGTTTTCAATAAATCGTTAATTTGGTCGATAAATTTTTGCCTCGGACGTCCCTTTCCGACTCTGCCATTCGCTTCTGCAACATAAATTATCTTTGTCACTCTTTCCTCATTCATACTTTCCACATGACCAAGCCACCGAAGCATTCCTTTTTTAATATTGGTCACAACATCATCTTGCAAACCACACTCTTCTCTTATCACACAATTTCTCATCCTGTCATTCAGATTCAGCCCTAACATACTCCTTAATGACCGCATTTCTACAGCGTTTATTCGACTATCGTGCTTCTTCGGCCACACCAACTTTCACTATCATATGTTAAAGTAGGGACCAACACAGCATTGTGAATTTCCACACGTGCCTTTTTTGACACATTTTGACTCTTCACAATAGTGAAGAGTGTAGGGCCCCATTTACTTTATTTCCTGCGTTTACTCGTCGTTCCATATCCTTATCATATCTCCCATCGCTGCTAAATACGCAATCCAAATATACAAACTCATCTACTTGCTCGATCAACTCCCCTTCTATTCTTATTTCACATATCGTTTTACTTTCTTCTCTTTCAAAAACCATAACTTTTGTCTTACTTGCGTTCACTTTCATACCCCTTTCTTTTAATGATCTGTTCATTAATGTAACTATCATTTGCAGCTCGGCTGCTGACGACGCAAGAATAACTTGATCATCGGCGTACTAAATGCATTTGACGGTTAACTCACCCATTCTTAATCTGCATTCTTCAACTTTCAAATTTTCCAAACAACTGTTCATAAATAGGTTGAACAGCCACGGAGAAGCCACATAGCCCTGTCTGACACCTGTATGGATGCCAAACCATTCCAAGTAGACCCCGTTGATCGTAACACAAGCACTAGAGTCCCTATAAAGAGACTCCAATGCCTGTATCAAGCCAACGCTCAACCCAAATGAGTTCAGTGTTTGCCATAGCATATCCCTATCCATTCTGTCATAGGCCTTTTCCAAGTCCATGAACGCACAAAAACCTTTTGGCTTTTGGCCAAAAATTTCTCCGCGATCATGCGCATGGAAAAGACTTGATCTGTACATCCCATTCCCTTTCTAAATCCCGCTTGCACATCCCAAATTTTCCGTCAGTTTCTTGATGACCCTTTCAATTAGTACCTTAGCATAGTTTTCGCACGATGCTAAGAAGGCTGATACCACGGTAGTTTTTACAGTCCTGTTGTGACTCTTTTCCTTTATATATTGGGACTGTCACGGCTTTGCACCAGTCTACCGGTACCCGCTTCATTTCCCAGCATAAATTAAACAAGATGTGCAGCAGGCCTGCCACCACTTTCACTCTGAGCATTTCGAGTGAAACTCTATCATATCATTCATTTAGTTCATATGTTGTCTCTGCACTCATAAACATGCTTTCAAAATATTCCTTCCATCTCTTTAAACTCAAAACTTGATCATTCAGAATATGACCATTCTCGTCTCTTATAGCATTCATTATAGGCTGTTTTGAATGTCCCCTGGCAGTTCGTATATTATGATAAAAAAATAATCAAAAATTGTCAATGAAACAAAATTCTAATCTTGTTTTGCGCGGCCTAACGGGTTTTCATTCTGGGAGTTTGACAGCGCTTACTAGTAAGTACCAGTACCATTACCGTTACCGCTACAGCATATTGAAGTCCACTGCTGAACATAGGCCTCCCCGTTAGTTGGCCTCATATTTGTCACAGTGGTTTGGCAACCGCTGTTTTTTATTTTTAGTCATTATTGGGAAGACGCTGCTGCCCACCTCCCGATTTGTTTCCCTATGTCGCGTCTCACCACACCCACGGGAAGATATTGGGAAGTGGATATTCTTACACCGACACTACACAATCCACTTATTTACTAGTAATCTCCTATGAAATATTCTTGAATTACCCTCTGCTTTTTTAATATTCTCAGCAAGATTTTAACAATTAACTAAGTCTTAAGTCCAGAGATACGTTATGCCTACTCAATGCACATGTAACATTTTTGCTTTTATGTTTCTCAGTAAGTGAGTGATACTCTCTTCAAAAGCCACAAATAGGTGGCAGATTCTCCTATGATGCCATGATATAGCTTATAATGCTGCTCACCATGGGAAATAGGTAAGAAAATGATATTTAGCCTGATAAACTTTAAAAATCATCTAATAAACTAATAAAGTTAAGAACTTACATTTTTATAACTCTGATGCATTTTCTCTATATCTTTATCAGCAGAGATAAATGCCAAATCCTCATAGATATCACTCAAGGTGATTATGTTCATACTGCTAACTTTACTAGGACTTGGAGTATTAGGTATCCTGTGGAAAGTGCTGAAGACTTTACACCTATTAGGAATGCTGTCATTTGGCCTTTGCAGTTTCTCATTGTATTCAAGAAGTGAGTGCTGCTCTGCTGAAGGTTCTACTGTGAGGGGTAGAACTTGATTAAGCTTCCCTTGTTCTGAAAAATAAATGTTACTTATATTTGCCTGTTAATAAAATATTAAATTGCTTTTTTAACATAGATTATTTTATTTGCTTGAATAAGATTATAGAGTGGGGTTCTTCACTTTTAGTTTTAATACATATAGTGATATACTTTCTGTAAACACCAGGTACAAACACAGGCTGTGCTTTAGTTTACGGTCGCACGATTTTCGTGATCATTTTAATTTTAATAGGTAGGTAACAGGTCATTGAAGTAAATGCTAGAAGGATTTTCTGCGGAAACTTATAGTTTTCGAGAAATTAATTTTTTAAGTTTTATAGGGCCGTGGTAGCTCAGTGGTTAACGCTCGCTGTAAACATAACAGAACGCGAGTAACCCGGGTTCGATCCCCGCCGGCTCCAATGAAATTGTTAATTGCAATTTTAAGTGCTGATTTACCACGTTCTCGGCGGTGAAGTAAAACATCGTGAGGAAACCTGCATGTCTGAGGAATAAGAAAAAAAAATATTTCGAAGACATGTGAAGTTCGTCAACACGCATTTGGGCAGCGCGGCGGACACTTCCTTGCCCTAAACCCTCTCAGAAATGAGGGGAGGCCTGAGCCCAGCAGTGAAACGTATATAGGCTGTAACTTTACTTTACTAAGTTTTATAGGTTAACTACTAGGAATCGTATAGAACAGTATTGTTTTGGCTTTCGGCCCTTGACATTTACATAATGACATTCTAAAGCATTAGAAAGAGACAACATAATGGTTGCATCTCCTTTTACCGCGTGTTATTTCAGACCTAAAATTTTTTTTGGCTGTATATGGTAAATCTTTGCTTTAAAAAAAAAGGAAACACTGGCTATCAATGTTATATGTTAGAATTGTTCATTCCATTGCCTTTGTGCTCTTGGCGTCGTTGTTTTTTGTGCGTGTTATTTGTTTCGTTATTTGCTCCCGACCTGACCCTCGCATTGTACCTTGTGACTTGTACCTGTTTTGACGATTTTACCTGGCATTGTATTTGGACTACGAACCTTTCAAGAACGACGACCCTTGCTTTCATATACGGACCTTTTTTATTTGAGATGGCAGACAACAACCCTCAGCCGTCAACTAGTGCCGTTTGTGACGCGCGCGCTTCATCATCAACCGAGACTGAGGCTGTTTATACCGACGGAGTATACGAGCATAGGAGGTTGCACGCGGAAGAATTAATAAAAATGCCGAATTGGACCATGCTTTTCAAAAAGCTACAAACTCGGGAGCAATGTGTGGAGTTCGCAGAAGAACATGGCCTGATCCCTAAAAATAAAATGTGCCGCCATCATCGCATCCCGATGCGAATTTCATATGGGAATTGTAAGAATGTTGGCCAATTTATATGCACTAAAGGCAACTGTCGGGCACGCTCGAAAGTTTCTCGAGCTAAGGACACGTGGTTCGAAAACGTGAAGTTATCGATGCTGCGTGTCTACTTCTTAATGTACCCCTTTGCCCATCGATGGTCATATGACAATGTAATATTTGAGGATCCGGAGAGAGATACGGAAGGCTGCCTCTCAATGGCAACAATAGCCGACTGGTATAGCTACTGTCGTGAGACAGTAGTTATATACCAGATAAATGTACAAAAAAATATAGGTAAAATTGGTGGCCCTGGCAAGGTGGTCCAAATCGATGAAAGCAAATTTGGAAAGAGAAAATATAACAAAGGTATTTATATTTTTTAATGGTCTTTTAAGTTGGTTAAGTTTTTTGATATCATGTTTGACAGCCCGATTCAGAGCAATCCGACTCGGACAGATTAGGTTAGAAGGTTAAGGCGGGAGCGAAGCTCCCGCCTTAGCCTTCGTGGTTATTTTTTTTATAACCACCCAGAAATACTGGCCCTACATAGCAGGACTCAATTGACCTAGCTTGGTAGGTAAACAATATATATTGATATACAAAATGTTTAAGGCGAAACCGAGTTAATGGAGACAGATATTATTTATATTTCAATTGTTTTTAAATTATATTTTTGTGATTTGTTCTAGGACGACACATTGAAGGCCATTGGGTCCTTGGACTTATTGAAGATGGGAGTGAAGACCTTCGGCTAGAAGTTTGCCCGGAGAATGTGCGCTCAGCAGAAGTGGTTGGTGCCCCTGATCCAGAAGCATGTGATTGAGGGGTCAATTATACATACGGACTGCTGGCGTGCATATGATTGTCTGGGTTCTTATGGATACATCCATAAAAAGGTGAATCACTCGGACCCAGACAATCCTTTTGTTGCTCTAGATGGAACTCATACACAAAGGATTGAGGCACAGTGGCGTGTCGTTAAAAAGTATTATAAACTTTAATATAATAATAAAATAACCCTAAAGATTTTTCCGATAGTATTGTATATATATGTGGAGACGAAGAATACAAAGAAATAAAAAAGATTTATTTTTATCACTTATAGAGGCCATAAACTTTGTTTATAAATTTAATCTTTTGTTTTATTTGTGCCTACATAGTTCTCTATATAATATATAACATATATATATATATATATATATATATATATATATATACATACTATCAGGCCAGAACAAAACTGGCGACACGTCAGGTTTGGTAAGAATTGTGTCCGTTGAACGTAGATCAGACCCAGAATCGAACCCCTGTAAGTAAGAAGGTCGAATGTAAATCGTCAGACGGGGTAGAGAGAAGATTAGAGCCTCCTCCCCACTTGATTTAAACAAATACCATTAATCAATATCAATATTTTATAGGTTAGGATAGATTTTTTAATGTATTTCAGAAACTATACGTTTCCGCATCGCCCCCCCCCCTTTTAGGGGGGGGGTCACCACTTCCCCCACCCCCCCAACCACCTCCCCCCCCTCCGCGTGCGACCGTAAACTAAAGCACGACCGCTCGCACAAGTAAAACAAAATTATAATGTTAAACAGTAGGTACTTACCATCTCTATAAACTACGTTAAGTTGGAGTAAACACGGAGATGTATGGTGTTCAGTCTGCACATTTTTAGTTAGAGTCTTTACCCTTTTTAAATGTGATGGCAAATAATCACTAGGTACTGCATAGCTATTGTTGTGTCTATGACTGAAAATATAATGAAAATCATTCAACATAATTCATATATAAAACATTAAAAAAGTTAATTATTTTTGCAATATGCGGCATATTGCCAGAGGAATCCTGTAAACTGCTATTTAAAACACTTGGTATATTACCCCTCCATTTTTTAGATAATTGTTAATATTAATTTTTTAGATTTAAATTAATTACTTAATATTGTCATTATATGAACATTTTAAAACTATAATCTGCATGCTATGCACTATTGTTAGTGAAACACAACTGCACTTTATAAATTGTGAATAAAGATTTATGATTTATTTACCCTTTTTTAAATTTTTTTTTTTTCTAAATGTTAGTTAAGAATAATATTGTGATCATCATCATTACATTCCTCCACAAGTCCACTGCTGAAAATGGGCCTCCCCCAAGGAATACCACAAAGCATGGTACTGAGTCCTGCATCTATCAACTTCCTACATCTCTTACCAGAATGTCACTCCATCTATTTGAGGGGCCGTTCTACACATTGCTTTCTAGTATGAGGCTGCCACTTAAGAAACTTTCTTCCCAATGGTCCCTTGCCACTTTTTTTTATAGAAGAGGGGGCAAACGAGCTTGCGGCTCACCTGATGTTAAGTGACTATCGCCGCCCATGATCAACCGCAACACCAGGGGAATTGCAGGTGCGTTGCCGGCCCTTTAGAAAGGAATAAGCTCTTTTCTTGAAGGTCCCCAGGTGGTATCGGTCCGGAAAAATCGCTGGTGGTAAACTATTCCACAGAGAGGTTGTACGCGGAAGAAAACTCCTCTTGAAACGTATAGTGGTGGACCGCCAAGCATCCAGATGGTGTGGATGGTATCGGAACGTTTGCCGCGTAGTGCGTTCACGAAATTTGGCGGCTGGGATTAATCCGAACAATTCCTCAGAGCACTCTCCATGGTATATGCGAAAGAAAATGCAAAGAGATGCAACATCTCCTCGCAGTGCCAGTGAATCGAGCCGATCGGAAAGCACTCGGTCGTCGACGATTCGAGCCGCTCTGCGCTGGATGCGGTCAAGTGGAAGGAGCTGGTACTGGGGAGCCCCAGCCCAGAGATGGTAACAGTATTCCATGTGCGGCCGAACCTGCGCCTTGTAAAGTTGCAGGCGGTGTGCCTGCATGAAATACTGTCCCGCTCTGCTGAGCACGCCAAGCTTTTTAGAGGCCAATTTGGCCTTCTCTTCCAAGTGACCACGAAACTGCACGTCACTCGATATATCGACGCCGAGGATTCCGATACTGGCTGAGGCAACGAAGGGGAGTGCCTTGAAACTGAGGAGATACGACAAAGCGGGTTCTTTTTAGCGGTTAACACGCAAACTTGTGTCTTCTGGGGGTTAAACTGGACTAGATTTAGTCGCCTCCAATCTGAGACTCTGTTCAGCAAAGACTCGACTTCAAAGTTTGTCCCGGCACTCGGAGACGTTTTCCCGAGAAATATTGGCTCGGCCGGTGCAAAGAGCATCACCAGTGCTGTCATCTGCATAGCAATGAATGTTAAGGGTTTGCAACATATCATTGATATGCAGAAGAAACAGCGATGGCGATAGCACGCAGCCTTGTGGAACACCAGCGTTAATAGGCTTGCAATCGGAGCTTGCACCGTCTACAACGACCTTGATGCCCCGATCTGCAAGAAAGCTGGTGATCCAATCGCACAATTTCTCGGGAAGCCCATAGGAAGGGAGCTTCGAAAGAAGCGCTTTGTGCCAAACCCGATCGAAGGCCTTCGCAATGTCCAAACTAACGGCCAATGCCTCCCCCTTAGACTCTATTGCCTCCGCCCATCTGTGAGTTAGGTAGACCAGAAGATCACCAGCTGTCCGACCACGGCGAAAACCGTATTGGCGGTCACTAATCAGCTGGTGAGCCTCAAGGTACCTCATGAGCTGGCAGTTTACAATGGACTACATTGTTTTGGAGAACAAGGAGGTGATGGCCATAGGCCGGTAGTTGGACGGGTCTGAGCGGTCGCCTTTTTTAGGGATCGGGTGGACGAAAGCCGTCTTCCATGATTTAGGGACTACGCCTAGGGAGTAGGAGTACCGGAAAAGACGCGTTAAAACCGGTGCCAACTCTGGAGCACATGTCCTCAGCACAATTGGGGGGATTCCGTCAGGCCCACTCGACTTGTGGATGTCCAGGGAGAGGAGTGCTTTGCGAACCGAGCGCTGTGTAAACTGCACTTCCGGCATGGAGCACTCACACCGCGGGATGGTCGGCGGCGTACTCCCCCCGTCATCGAGGGTCGAGTTGGACGCAAAGAAAGAGCCTAGAAGATCGGCTTTCTCCTTTGCGGTATGGGCCAGTGAGTAGTCCTCCCTGTGCAGAGATGGAAGAGATGGCTGACAGAAATTCCCCTGGACAGCCTTGGCGAGAGACCAGAATGCACGGGTTCCAGAAGGAAGGCGAACTAGTTTCTCGCCAATTCTGCCTATGTGCTCTGACTTTGCCTTGGCAATGATTCGTTTGAAGGACCTAGAGGCGGAATTATACTTCTTTTTTAGAGCGCTGGTGTTTACATCCCGGGACGCTGATGCGTCAGCCCAGGCTTGGTAGCACTCCTGCTTATAGCATGATGCTATTTTACAGGAGCGACCAATACCATGGCTGAGATTTGCCTCCAATGGGCACCACAGAGGAAGTAATAAAAAGTTCCATACCCTGAAGTACCACATCAGCGACAGAATCCGCAACAACGTTGGGATCGTCCGGCGAGAAGCAAACCCGCCCCCAAGGGTAGGATGCAAAGAAAGACCGCATCCCATCCCAATCGGCTGACCTATAGTGCCAAACACGGCGGCAGCCTGCAGAATGCAACTGCGATTTCAGCGTGAGTTACACCACACTCCGAACAAGACAATGGTCCGAGGAGCCTAAAGGGGCGTCGACGGAAATCTGATATCCGTCCGGGTGAGAGGTCAGCAGAAGGTCCAACAGGGAAGGTGCATGATCCTCCACATCTGGAATCCGCGTAGGCGAAATAACCAGTTGAGTCAGACCATATGCCAAGGCAAAATCATGAACAGATCTCCCCGCATGATCGGTTAAACGTCAACCAAGCCATTTGACGTGATGGGCGTTAAAGTCGCCGAAGATCACGATCTCTGCGGAGGGGATCTGCTGTAGCAACGAATCTGTAGCCATTTGGACGTGGCCGAAGAGTCGGTCTGTTTCGGCATTACCGCTATGGGACCTATAGAGGCACCCGTAGACGCGCGGATGGTCGTCGCTGTCTACGCGTAGCCAAAGCATGGACAGGTCCGAACCTTCAAGTCTGCCGAGGCGTCGAGAACAGATGTCCTCTCTGACGTACACGCAAACTCCAGCCCGAGGACAAAGGAGTGTTCCAGTTTGTCCCCGGGTAGGAGAGATACGAGACATCAGCCGGAGAGGACACCTGCGTCTCAGTCAGAAAGAGCAGAGCCGGCCTCGCCGTCTCGAGATGGTAGTGGACGGCGTTTAGGTTAGAGTGAAGTCCCCTGATATTGCAGAAATTCATGGACAGCGTGGCAGGGGTCGCCTTGGTCTTGTTGCTCCGTTTGCCCCGAGCAGTTGTAGTCTTGAGCGGAATTTTGCCCCCCCCCAGAATACGCGGGGCAGCCTGAGCACCCACGCTCAGAAGTGGAAAAACATGGTCGTTGATGCTTAGCGTGGGGTTCTCCAGGGCTGCTGGTACCCTCCTGGGGTAGTCTATCATTATTTAATTCCGCTACCATGTTGATGGTGGGGGGGGATTTGGGCCTCCGGCCACCTGCACTCACCAGACGAAACGCGGAAGCAGAGCTTCCACTTTACGCCGGTATTCTGTGAGGTTGTGGTACCACCCCGGTTTGAGCCTGCCCATACATGCAACAGCAAAACTGCCGCATGGATCTACCACTGTTACTCCAGCTTACTGATCTGTGTGATCTGGCTACTCTGGTTCTACTGCAGATATCCTCATTTCTAAGTTTATCATGCAGAGAAACTTCAAGTACAGACCTCTCTATAGCTTGCCTAGTGAAATCACAGAAAACTACAAAGGTTTTCGCATATATTTTCTCATTATAATGGCTGAAGTTTTTTTTACCGAATAAGGGTGAAATACAAGCACACAGTGACCACCAGCACCACCTGATGGTAAATGGTTGCTGTGGCCCACAGACTACATCCTTCTTCAACTATGAATCAAAATACAGATGCATTGTCAACTGTGAGGACTAAGATGTAATGCATTGTTTCCAATAAAAAGGGTCTCCGGTTCTCTACACTTACCATACGAAACATAGCAGTGTTAAGCTGCTATTTTACGCTGGTATACTGTGAGAGCATGGTCCTTCCCCCATCGAGCCGACCCATTTGTGCTACAACTAGACTACTAATATAGCTAGCTGCAAATTTGCCTCTATCATGTATAGCTGCAGCATGGCTCTACCACATACGAAAAACTTATTAATAATATTTGTTAATTTTCAAACTTTCATTAACTATGAAACTTATTTATTTTGTTTACCTAGTTGATATGTCATTCTTAGCTACAGTCACCTGAGTCAGTTTTACTTTGGAAGATTCCAGCATCTTGCATTTTTCCTTTATGCTAGTTATCTCAAGATTCTGTAAATAATAATATTGGAGATATAAATGGAAAGGTAATGCTAATTCCAAACATTCATTAATCTATTTTAATAAGTATAGAAACTATCTTCTTCATTTTAAAAGCAAGACTTTTCTTAAATAACTACCTTAAAATCCAACTGAGTCCTTAAATCTTGCAACTGATTATTGACTGCGGCCAATTTATCTGTCCATTCCATTTGCACTTTTTCCTGTACCTTAATTTTCTCTAATCTTGCATTATCCGCAGCCATTTGGCTTGTCTTCAATTGAGTGCGTAAAATTGACACTTCCCCCTCTTTGGTGACATATTTTTCCAGCAACTTTCCATTCTCTGATTTAAGCTTTGAGTTTTCTTCTCGGAGTTGTAATAATTGACGATAGACATAGTCAGCATCACTTTGGTAGATTTTGTCATTAAATATCATGTCTTCTGCCAAACTATCTGGATTGGTTTTCTGAATAACTTTGGACATGCCAGGTAATGGGGATGATATGAGTTCACATTTATCTCTTAACTTTGTTGAGACAGTGGATAGAGCATCAGCCGTTGGTTTTTTAAATGTAAAAGTGGTTTTAGAAGTACTGGAAGTGGGTTCAAAAATTTGTGTGCTGGTAGAAGATGGTTGCATACAAATACTGTAATCTGGTAGTGTACTAGTATTGCCACTGTAGGCCTGTTCACAGGCCTGGCTTGCTAATAGTAGTATTTCGTCGTCATTATCATCTCCCCAATTATCTGCAAGGTTTCCATTTATACAAGGGAAATGACAAAGAAACTAAGCTTTTACACTTATTGAATAAATTAAGTAAAGCTTGCCATTAACATTTTGTTCTTTTGTACAAAGCAAAATACAGAAAGTAAGATACTAATAAATGTAATGTTTACTGCAATTTTATTTACCTTGGTCTCTATCACCATTTTGACTTAAAGGAAAGTTGTGGTCAGATATAGTAATATCCAACTTTGCCTTTTTTCTTTCACCATGCTGTTGCGGGAAGTAAAATCGTTTAGACATCTTTGAAATAATTCGACTTTGTTTGTTTGGTTTTGAAATAAAAATTAATTTTGGCGCTCCATCGGAAAAAAAATACAACACCAGCCACAGACTACTAAGAGGTAAGAGTAAGAGGAACACCAGCTGACAGTGACAATAACAACTAGCAGAATGAAGATTATCAAAAATTTGGTAGAACATTTTTTTTATATTCCGTGTAGAACATCGATTTTGTAAGTCGACATATATCAATATCGACTTAAGTAACATCGCAGCGTCGATATCGAAAATTTGATAAGTACAATCATATTATGTCTTCGCGTTGCGTTTTGATTGTCTCATTATATATAAATTAAGTAAAGATAATAAGGAAAACCTTTAAAATTCTAATACATATGTATAATAAATTGAACTAACTTATTTAGTAACACTTTGATTGTTTTTTTGTTGTATGATATTAAAGAACCATATATGATTTCCCTTCCGAGCCGCATCTATGTAATGTTTTCACGAGAAATTTTAAAGATTCTAGAACACAGATTAATAAATTCCATGGATTATGAGAAAGTCTTTAATTTCGACTTTGGTAGCATCCTTTCCGGCACAACTGAAATTTTTGAATGAGATTGAGATATTCTACGGACAGCTGTATACATCATTGTTGAAGCCACGCGAAGTATAAGTAACGATCTATAAGCAAGTCTCATCCGACACTATTTCGATTATATTCAGGACATCAGTCTGAGTAAGATAATAATGACCATCCAGCACATAAAAACCGGCAAGGCCCCTGGCGAGGATAGAATTGAAGCAGAGCTTCTGAAGGTGGGGAAAACCAGTACTTAAAGACCTTCAGAAACCCTGTAATTCAGACTCCCATGGTGACACAACTCCAGAGGCATGGAGAAGTGCATTGGGCTTGTTGACGAGAGTAATTATGAATCGTCTTGCATGCAGACTTAATAACTTGCGTATATAGAATATGAAAAAGCTTTTGATTTCATTAAAATTTGGACGGTACTACAGTCTCTTCAGCGGTGCCTAATTGATTTTTGGTATATCGAAGTGATGAAGTGTTTTTACTGTAAGGTTGCATTGGGTCTCTTAGTACTGAAACCGAGTACAAAACCTAGAGAGAATATACCCCCAAAACTCTTCACCGCGGCGTTGGAGATGTTGTCAAGCTACTGGACTGGAAAAGACACAGTATCAACATTGGAGTCTAGCACTCTGCTCAATGACTTTAAAAGTGTCTCTCAATGGATTGATCTTATGATAAACATAGGAAAGACAAAGATTTTGTGTTATTTCCATGTCACACATATGCTTTTAGTTGTTAGGAACATTACACTCAAAGTAGTTCATGAGTATTTGGATATGAAGAAGAAAAAGATCTCCCACCAGGCAAGGTGTTCAGCCTGGGGAGTGGCCAATTCTCTGTTTGATAGCTTGGAGCTATTCAATATTTACCACAGTACTTCGGAACTTTGATAGCGTGATTAAGGCTTCGGTACGTGCAAACTGTGGATTTTATACTCGTTTATCACCATTACTTTGTTCAACAAAGAAAATACAAGATTAATTTTCATAATTATTAATCCTACTTGAACAGCAACAAATCCTGAAAATAATTTATGGTACTAAATAACATATTTCTTATCTCTAACACTTCTAATATGACTTAAATAAGGAGCAGTAAGCTCTGCGAAATATGTATTTGAAATTATTTTTCTTCATAAACTCGTAAAAGTCTGCTGGACATAGACGTTTATCCTTGTATGAAGAATTAGCCTTAATTTTTATAGTGGGTTGACGATCGCTAAACCAGGAATCTCGAACATTGACACTACTGCCCGTCAACGATCTATGTATTTCATGTCTGATGTAAGCTAGAGGATTCTACGAGAGGTAATGAAATTATTTTACGGCATAATTATATTACATTGCAAAATCTAAACTTAAGATGCACGTACATAAGTAAGTAAGCAACTGCGGAGAGGTGTAAGACAGGGTGATGTTATTTCCCCGAAACTCTTCACCGCTGCATTGGAAGACGTTTTCAAGTTACTGGACTGGAAAGGATACGGTATTAACATCAATGGCGAGTACATCACTCACCCTCGATTTGCCGACGATATAGTCCTTATGGCATAATCGCTGGAGGACTTAAGCACTATCCTCAATGACCTCAATAGTGCCTCCCAACGGATAGGTCTTAAGATGAACATGGACAAAACAAAGATCATGTTTAATGTCCATGTCACACCTACGCCGGTAGTTGTTGGGAGCACTAATCTCGAAGTTGTTGACGAGTACGTTTACCTGGGACAAATAGTCCGTCTAGATAAGTCCAACTTTGACCGAGAGCTCAATCGACAAATTCAACTCGGCTGGGCAGCGTTCGGGAAATTACGACACATCTTCTCATCAGGTATACCTCAAAACCTGAAAACTAAGTTGTACAACCAGTGCGTGTTGTCAGTGATGACATATGGAACTGAGACGTGGTCCTTCACTGCTGGCCGTATGAAGACGCTCAAAGTCGCTCAGCGAGCTATGGAGAGGGCTATGCTCGGAGTTTCTCTGCGTGATAAACTTAGAAATGAGGATATCCGCAGTAGAACATAGCATAGCCCACCGGATTAATAAGCTGAAGTGGCCAATGGGCCGGCCATATAGCTCGTAGAACCGACAACCGTTGGGGAAAAAGGTTCTCGAGTGGCAGCCTCGTACCGGTAGGCGAAGTGTAGGGTGACCCCCCACTAGATGGAGTGACGACTTGGTAAGACATGCAGGAAGTCGATGGATGCAGGTGGCTCAGTACCGTGCTTTGCGGCATACCTTGGGGGAGGCCTATGTTCACCAGTAGACTTGTAAAGGGCTGTAATGATGATGATGATGATGACATAAGTAAGCGGGTCTTTTTTTATCTTTCTATTTATTTGTTCTAGTCTTGATACACTAGTGTTACAGACGTGTTATTTCAGATTTTATTTATTCGAAATTCACACAAATATTTATGAACATCAATTAATACTACTTGATCAGTCAATACACTACACATCGATGTTTAAATGTCATGTCAACATCGAGTATTTATTACGATCACACATCCCTATTGAAGGAATAATAATACAGATTATCCGCATATAGAGTACGTGCTACGTGTACAACGACACCAATCGTAAAGATGAAAACAAAAAACGGTTTTTGTTTTCAACAATGACGAAGAAAAGATTGTTTGCTTATATTCACCGAACCATGATTCTTCTATGAGTATTAATTTTACCCTGAAAATAATATGGTTATATATTTAATCATGTAATATAAATGGGGAAGATTTTGTAAGCAGAGGGCGCCACGCGTATGATCTATTTACATTCTGTGGTTCGAAACTGTTCATGAGAAATGTTTTCGTATGGGCGTTTTTAATCCATTGTACAATTTATATTTTATAACTAGTATTAACTTTTTACCTGTACGATGTATTCTACGTGGAAATTAAACCAGCTCAAAGAAGAATTAAAGAAAAGAGGTGCGTCCTGTAGTGGAAGGAAGGCAGACCTTGTAGAGAGGTTAGTAAATAAAAGTCGAAAAATTACTGCAGGGTTTTATAGTTTTTTGGTGAATGTTTTTACTGATTAGCATTAAACTCTTGACCATATTTCTGTGAAACTATATCCACTTCGTCTATTGTTTGTGAAAAACAAATACTAAGCTGTCTTCTCATTTTTAGGTTAGAGGCGTATGATAGAAATTTTAACTTCACTGATAAATCGTATTCCCCAGAACCAGTACAAGGCGAAGTTATGATCATACCAAAAGACGATTTTTATAAAGATATTAACAGCAATACCCCATTGCCACCATTAAATAAACACCAAATACAAGAGTATTTTGGAGAGTGAGTATATTTATCTATTTAATAAACACTTTGTGTCCATAAATGTTTTTTTTTCATTGTCAGGAAAAAAGTATGCTGTATTACTCTTCAAAATTAATTTACGTATCTAAGCGTAAAGAAGTAACAAACACACAATGTAATATTAGTGTGATTCAAACATAAATTTCAATTCTTTCAGATGCAGTCAATCCTTAATAAAGGGAAAAAGTTTATATGAAAATAGATACCTTCTTATATTAAGGGCTGTCTCAATAAATGATTTTACATATGTAAAAGGTTTTTGTAAAGCAGCAATGAGAAAAACTCAGTATGAGGTAAATATTAAATTATACAAAAATGGTATATTAGAAGAGACTAATTGTGAATGTACAGCTGGATCTGGAGTTAATTCACAGTGCAAGCATGTTGCTACTGTATTGTTTGGCACAGTTGATATGATTGAACATAAAACTATAGTATTAGAGGAAGTGTCTACTCAAAAGCTACAGAGCTTTAACCAGCCCAAGAAAAAATATTTTTCCTCACCTCTGAAAGCACAGAATTTACCTTATAAAAGAACTGAAGGGAATTTGAATTTTCATCCGTATAGGGGTATTATCAACAAAGACAAATATAATGAAAGAATACGGAATCTTGTCTTAAATTGTACAGGCAGTACTATGCCTTTAAGGCAACTATATAAACCTGCAAATCCTTATGCAGTCGAGTGGGATCATGGCAGTTACAGTGTTTCTTTAAAAGATAAAATTTTGAAATCCTTATATTTAAAAAATGTTACCTTAGAAGATATTGAAAATATCGAAAGAGACACTAGAATGCAAAGTCAAAATGAAAATTGGTATCTACACAGAAAAAATCGTCTCACAGCAAGTAATTTTCATACAATTTGCCATTTGAGTGTCCAAAACATGCCCAGCTTTGCAAAGAACATAATGTCCAGACGGAGTGTGTCAACCAGAGCTACAAATCATGGCAAAATTAGTGAAAAAGTAGCCCTAAAACAATATTGTGATAAATATGCACTTGATGTCAAAGAATGTGGCTTATTCATTAATAAAGAGAAACCATATTTAGGTGCTTCTCCTGATGGATTACTTGGAAATAACACAATTATTGAAGTAAAATGCCCTTACTCAACTCGGTATGGCTCCATAAATCCGGTTAATGTACCTTATCTGTGTCTAGAAAATGGAGAACTGCAAATAAAAAAAACACATCCCTATTACTATCAGATACAAGGCCAACTATTTTGTACTAACCGAGAATTCTGTAATCTTATCATCTATACATATAAAGATCTCCAGGTTGTGTATATCACAAAGGATGAATGTTTTATAGCAGAAATGGTTAAGAAATTGGACCTCTTCTATAAAAACTACTTCGAAGAAGCTGTTTTAAATAAATATTTATATAAGTACTATGCAGAAATAATAAAACCTTGATTACCTTTCACAAGTGTATTTATTTAAATTTAAAAACAATTCTTTCTCTAAAATTACAAAGCATTACACACAAAATAAATATTTTGGAAGTCAGTGGCACATAATAACTATTAATTTCAGATTTAAGAATGGTGTATGTTTTTGTCAGTCCATTGAGTCTTTCAATATGCACTCTATTCTTGGACAAATCCCTATCTTTTCAACTATTTTGTACTAACCGAGAATTCTGTAATCTTATCATCTATACATATAAAGATCTCCAGGTTGTGTATATCACAAAGGATGAACGTTTTATAGCAGAAATGGTTAAGAAATTGGACCTCTTCTATAAAAACTACTTCGAAGAAGCTGTTTTAAATAAATATTTATATAAGTACTACGCAGAAATAATAAAACCTTGATTACCTTTCACAAGTGTATTTATTTAAACTTAAAAACAATTCTTTCTCTAAAATTACAAAGCATTACACACAAAAAAAATATTTTGGAAGTCAGTGGCACATAATAACTATTAATTTCAGATTTAAGAATGGTGTATGTTTTTGTCAGTCCAATGAGTCTTTCAATATGCACTCTTTTCTTGGACAACTCCCTATCTTTTTTCAAATCATGTGTGGAGAGTTGTGACACCCCCCTTTAAAAATGTGGGTATTTTAATTGCAACATTTTTTGAGGCAAAAATGTCTTGAACATTAAACCCTTTATCAGCCATAATTATATCTCCTGCCTGACAAAGCTTAATTAATGACGATCTTTCGGTTAATTGCCGATCACTTGTTGCCCCACCATAACCATCTGAACAATATGAAATTAGGCCACCTGGAGTAGCACCAATCAGAAATTTGATTGTATTTTTGTTTTTATAGTTGCTAAATGTGGCCTGTTGTGATAGAGGGTTTGTTGGCTTACATATTGGCACTTCTGTCGAATCTATGATAATTCTTGTTTTTTCAAAATTCTCAAAGCTTTCTGGGGTATAGTATTGGACCAACTCTTGGGTAGGCCATAATTCAATTAATGACCAAGTATCATACATAAAATTCACCCAGGTTACAAATATATTAGATACTACAGTTCGACTGACACCAAATATTTTTGATAGTTCAAAATTACAATAGTTACGTCTCAATTTCATTAATGTTATTAGAAACTGGTCTTTCACACTTAAAGATACCACATTTCCTGATTTATAACACAGATTGTAGGCCATAGGGCATAAAGTGTCAAAAACAAATTTAAATTTTTTGTATGTTTCAAGCCCAGTATAAAATTTTACTGATGTGTCATCAATAAGTAGTTCTTCTGTAGCAAATAATCTCAATAAAACAGAGGTTTGTGTCGATTTATTGTTAATATTCTGAATTTTAGTATGGCTGTAACTTGCACATAGCTGTTTATTTATGTTTGAAGTTTCACTATCCAGAGTTCCGGTATCACTAAAACCTAAGAAGTTTGGAGCGAATAGTTGTTTTTTTAGGTTTCTATTTCGCAGTCTCTCCTCCCTAGCAGCTGCGGAAGGTGGTAGAACCTTCGACCAAGGGAAAACTGATGGTAACGCATTCTTCATTAAAATTCGGCGCTGTAAATTGAAACCTGCAATTTAAACAATCAAGTTACATGACATCTGTGAAAGATTTGAGCAAAGACAATATATAAAAATAAACCTACTCACCTGTAGACGATTTCACAGTTTTATAATCATTTTCTGTAAAATGACGTCCACATAATCGTAAATAAGAAGATTGCGATTTCGCCAATTCTGGGCGTTTTATTGCTTTGGCCCACAACCTTCTTCTCTTTTTTATCATTTGGGAACAAATGATATCCATTTTCTTTGCATCCCGGCACTGCACAATTAGTCATTTTTATTAGATTTAATAAAAACGTCAAAAAGATCTAAAATATAACGATGCACAGATAGGCACAGCGGATCATAGCAATCGCGACACCTAGCGGGAAAAAATGGCAAAAATCTTCCCCATTGTAAACATAGCAATAAAATAAAAAGTAAATAATTAACCTCAGTCCCTTGGAATTTGGAAAGTTATAGAACGGTCGATAAATTATGTAATACTGATGTTGATTTCGTACCGGTAGACAAAGTGTAGGGCCACCCCCTTCTAGATGGAGTGACGACATGGTAAGACACGCAGGAAGTCGATGAATACAGGTGGCTCAGGACCGTGTTTTGTGGCATTCCTTGGGAGAGTTCTAAGTCAGCGGTGGTCTTGTGAAGAACTGTTGATGATGATGTTTGTTTTGTAAAGACGAATTTTAAAATGACGGTTAAAGATTTTACGATTTTGATGTTCTTAAATTGGCTCTAGTACCATAGACTATAAAAGACGCGTAAAGTTTGTGTTTTCTATCATAATTCATTTTCTCTCTGGTTTAGTTCGTCGTGGAAAATTGAATTGAGTGGACGTATACAATGAGCGAAATTTATAAACTTGGTGATTTAGTTTGGTACATTTCAAAATTTATATTAAATTTAAGACATTTATTCATTGCTAATATGTAAATAAATATAATTAATGATTTGCTTGTTTCAGGGCTAAAATGAAGGGTTTCAGTCCCTGGCCCGGCCGGGTGAGTTGCTTCAGTTTTTTATTACTAATTTGAATTAAAGTAAATAAACGTCTTCTACATAGCTTCCTAAATAATAAGTTTAATATCACCAAAACTTGCATGTGAGTAAGAAATATAAATTGGCATTTTATAAGTAATGTTGTTATGAGCGGGAAAATCATGATTACGTTGTAAATGCGCTATTTGGTTATTCAATTATGATTTTATTTGTGCATTTTAGTTAAAAGACATTTATTATTAGTTCTAGTTAGCCTCTTAATCTTATCTGGAATTGCCTTACCCCGTTATCCTATGTTGTGGTTCTCTCACTTTCTATAAATAATACTTCGTGATAGAAAGAGACAGAAGTATGTTTTGAATTAAGTTTGGTTACATGGTTTTTAATTTTTATATGACAATGGTTTTCAGGTAGCAATTCCTACACCAGAGCTGAAGCCTCCTAAGAAGACAACCAATGTTCAGTGCATTTATTTCTTTGGAACTAACAATTAGTAAGTAGCTGTTATTTTTGTTTACAAAAAGTAGGATGATTTTCTAACATGGGTGTATGTGAATGTTTTTCATCCATTGCGTTTGAACCTCACAATATGACTGAAAAAAATCAGTCCTAATTGAGCTTCCTTTGCTAAGTAAATAACTAAACTTGATCAAGATCTATTTAATTATGATAATAATTAATTCATTTTTTTTGACATGAATATAACTTCTAAAAGTTAGTGTTAATTTTTTTTTATAGAATAAGAGTGACATTCAAACACACATTCCACCTGATGGTCCGTGGGTACTGTAGTTCATAGACACCTACATTTATCCACAATTAAGAATCATAATGCAAATGCATTGTCACCCCTTAAAACTATAATGCCTCATAACCATTAAAAGCTGTCTCTGGTTCTCATGACTCACCATACAAAACATAGCAGTGTTATACTGCTATTTCAAGCTGGTATTTTGTGAGAGTGTGGTCCTACCATGCTTGAGCAGACCTATTCCTTCTGTAACCATAGTAAAGCTGCAGTGTGTCTTTACCAAGTATAAAGTGTATTAATCTGCAATGTTTCTTTAACATAAGTTGTGAGATTCTATTGAAGTAATAGACAAGGATGGATCCTCAATTTCGTCCTTAACGTAGAGCCATGCTGCAGCTATATTATGGTTGAAGCATGAATTGGTCGGCTCAACCGGGGAAAAACCACACTCACAGAATACCAGCATAAAATAGCAGCTTACTATTGCTGTGTTTCATATGGTGATTGTAGAGATCGGGAGATCCTTTTTTACTGGAAACAAGGCATTCCATCGTAGTCCTCAGGGGTGGCAACACATCTGCGTTTTGATTCTTAATCGAGGATAAATGTACTACAGCATCCATTTACCATCAGGTGGACTGTGTGCTTGTTCGCCCCCTCTCCTATAAAACAATCTTCAGGATTATAAAATAAGTTTATATATGTGATAAAATCCATGAAAACTAGTTTTATTTAAAGACTATGTTAGTACTTAATAAATAATTTTGTAAGTAATTTAGCACATTATTATTACTGTGGGGTATCTATATAGTTTTCTCATCTGGTTGGGTTCTATAAATATATAATTATAAATGAGAATGAAAAGATAAATATACATAAATATCAATAACATAAAATAAATATAAAAATACTTAAATAAATAAAAGCCCAACCAGATGGAGGCCCTCGGCAGGGGAGACCAAACGGCCGAGGGTTAGGGGGAAAGGGAAAGAAACCGGCGGACGATGCGGGCGGTATCGAGGAGCACCGCCTTCTGCATTTGAGCCCGGAGCGGTCCGCCACGTAGTCCCAGTCGCCTCAGATGACCCGAGAGGCTGACTGGGATTAGCCCGTTTGCAGAGACGACTACAGGAATAATTTCGGTCGGCAGACCACCCCACATGTCGGTCACCTCGTGAGCCAGGTCCAGATATTTTGTTTGCTTGTCTGTTTCGGCTTTCACGAGGTTCTCGTCATACGGAATGGTAATGTCGACCAAAAATATCCTTGACTGTGCCCGGTCCATCAGCACAATATCAGGCTTATTCGCAAGAATAGTCCTGTCTGTGATGATGGCCCGGTCCCAGTAGAGCCTGGCGCGGTCATTTTCGAGCACGGCTTCCGGCAAGTACTTGTAATACGGCAATTTCCGGTCCACGAGACCATATTTCAGAGCGAGCTCCTGGTGTAGAATTCTGGCTACTAGGTTGTGCCTGTGCAAGTACTCAGAGTTAGAAAGCGCCGAACAACCGGAGATAACATGCCTAAGTGATTCACCGGGATGGCGACAAGCTCGACAGACGTCGACGGTGCCATCCTTTAGGATGTATCTCCGATAGTTGTTGGTCTTAATAACCTGATCCTGTATTGCACAGACAAAACCCTCGGCTTCCCCGAAGAGGTCACCGAAACGTAGCCAGTTTAGGGAGGCGACTGTATCTACGAAGGGCTCATGAAGAGCCCTGTAGTACCTCCCGTGGAGCTCCTTCTCCTTCCATACGGTCTCCCGGTCAGAAATGCTAAGCACTGCTGGGTCCTGCCATTGCTCGTGGGCTAAGGATAGAGGGGTAAGCCCTTTATCACTAGAAATGACGTCATTATAGAATGGATCATCCGATCTCGCCAGGAAGTAATCACGGAGGCTGCACACTTCGCGATTATGCATGGTGAGCGCGCTCATAAAACCACGCCCACCATGCCTTCGCGGCAAGTACAGCCTCATTACCGACGATCTCGGATGATGCATCCTATGGGACGTCATGGTGTGCGGACTTTTCTATCCAGGGCGTTAAGTTCGGTCTGAGTCCACCTGAGTATGCCAAAGGTATATATGAGGACAGGCATGACCCAACCGTTATATGCGTGTGTCTTATTCACACCGGACAAAAGGCTGTTAAGCACTTTGGTCAAGCGTGCATAAAACACGTCGCAAACTGACTGTTTCACACCAGCCTCATCAATACCGATGTTCTGTGACATACCCAGGTATCGGTATGTTTCAGCCTCGGAAAGGGTCTTTAAGTTGACGGGCATAGATAAATCTATGCCCTCAGAGTTAGCAACCCTTCCCCTTTCAACATGAAGGACCGCACACTTATCCGTCCCCAGCTCCATTCCAATGGAATTGCTAAATTCACAAGTGATGTTTAGCAATTCCATAAGATGGGAGCGACTGGAGGCGAATAACTTGAGGTCATCCATATAGAAAAGGTGGGTCACTTTTGTTCCTCCTTTCCGTAGCTGAAATCCTCTCCCGGAGCCCTCCAGTAAGGTACTGAGAGGGTTCAGAGAGAGGCAGAACCAGATTGGACTCAGACAATCGCCCTGGAAGATACCCCTTCTTATCCTTATGTGGTTCTCCGCAGCCATCATCCGCTCGCCCTGATAACGAGGATCGTACTCCACTGCCCCATACACTGCTCGAGGAAGTCTCTAACTGTACAGTCAATCTTGTACAGCTCGAGGACCCTCTTTAGCCATGCATGGGGCACCGAGTCGAATGCTTTTCTGTAGTCTATCCAGGCGGCGGAGAAGTTCCGACGGTTGCGTTTTACCACTTTGCCAATGACCGCGTCAATGAGGAGTGGTTCCTTGGTTCCACGACCACCGCCCCGACATCCATTTTGAGCGCGTGACATCACCTTATTTAGCTCCAGGTGACGAGTGATTCTCGCGCTCAAAATGGATGTCAGTGTCTTATATATAGTGGGTAGACACGTGATGGGGCGGTATTTGCTCGGGTCTGTGGTATCCTGATCTTTAGGAACCAAGTGAGTGATCCCAGTAGTGAAGAGGCTCGGGAGCGACTTCTGATCGAGAGCCTCTTGATACTGTCGGGCGAGCACAGCGTGACACACTACGAACCCCTTCAGCCAGTAATGATGCAGCCCGTCGAGCCCCGGACTTTTCCAGTTCGGGGCCCTACGGACCGCCTCAGCCACGTCTTCAGGCGTTATGGTGACGGGTTCCATAGGCGTAACACTTGCACTCTGGCTCGCCACAACTTCCATCCAAGGGCCCTCGCTGTGGTTTACGGGCTCTGACCACAGGCCACGCCAAAATGCGACAGTGTCAGCCTGATCCGGTCCTGGGCCCGCTCCACATACCTCTGGTCGCTCCAATGATTTATAGAGCCTCTTCTGATCACTCTGGAAGAGACGATTTTGGTTGAACCGCCTTGACCTCTCGCTAAATCGTCGAATCCGCTTCCCCCAAGCAGCGATTTTTTGCTTCAGGTCATCTATGCGCTCCGTTAGTTTCTGCGTGATATCCGGCTGGGACAAACTAATATTTGTCCCAGCAAACGCCATTCTAACGGTGCGCACAACTCTCGGTCTAATATTACCCGACCTGAAGCTTGTCAGTCTGCCGATAAGGGCCCTTGCCTTTGCGATACGGTCCTCGATTCTTTTTCTCCAGGCTGGGATGGCACTACCTTGTTGAGTAGCACGTCCAGCCATGGGAAGTTTGGCGCCAATAATACGGCATACTGCCAGTGCGGCGCCAAAAAGAATTGAGTCCGTCTCGCAAAGGTCCCGGCTGGCTTCCAAATAGGTCACCAGCATTGGGTTAAGAGCCCGCACGACAGCCCGATTTCGCTTGCTAAGGGGTATGCGGGGAAGTCGCGGTCGATTTTCGAGAGGCATGCTGCGCGTTTCCAGCATCGACTCTTCCAATATGCTCCTCATTTTCTCTAGTTCGTGGGGGACTATTCCATCATCGTCTGAATCAACTACAAATGGAATATTGACGGCAGCGTCCACATTTGCAGTTTGCTGCGCAATTAGTGGCGCCGCATTCCCAGCCGTAGCATTTCCATCCGATGAGGGAACAGCCTCACGTCGTAGTCGTTCGAGTTCGGCGTCACCAAATATGTTGGAGCGCAGGATGTACCGAACTCGGTCTGCCAGGTTTTGCTCAGTGACGGATAGAGATGGCTCCAGCTCTGCAAAAAAGCGATGCATCCGAGCCCGATATGCCAAACATCCGGTTTCTTCCCCTTTTGCCCTAAAGTACGCCCGCAGTGCGTTTGCGTTCATTGTTTGTGACCAACGCATGCGACGTGCTCCACCAGCGGCGGGTGCCGCTTGCTGAGTCCGAGAAGACCCAGCCGACACCAAGCCTTCTGGTGGGGATGATGGATGCGGAGGGCTGCTAGGTGATCGTACAGCTCCTCGCGCTCGGCTGGCGGCCCGCATGCTGCCGCGTCCAGCGCCAGCTCCAGACGCGCCCCGGCGACCCCCAGGCAGCGGCCCTATGCGCGTTCCTCTTTGTACCATCATCCATTTATGGGCGCCAAATAACGGGAGACGCCCAAGCCCGGCACCGTTTCGTGGTTCGGTCTTATGCACAAACGGACCTTTGCACCCACAATTTTGCCTAGGCACGGCGCTCACACCTCTTGGCAGGGCGCTGACTGACTGCGCCGACGTAGTAGTTTTGTCACATAACTGTTACGTCAGCGGGCGATGGGGTCGTCACTT